TTTCTGATTTCTTGTCGCTTTTTCTAATAATCCAAATTTCTTGAGCAAAACACAAACAGAAACAAGGAAAAAATATTTCGAGCCGAGCGCGGCTCGTTTTGTGGAAAAATTTGCCAAGAAACTATTTAATTAAGCAACTTTCTTCGAAACAACACACCCACACCAGCCACCACCACCACACCAGACCCACACGCACACACAGCAGTCTACTACGAACATGCCCAGCACCCGCCCAAAGAGAAAGACAATGCCCAGCGCAAAGGCCCTGGATCTGGCGCGCGACGAGGTTGCCAAGAGGAAGGCGGCACGGGCAGCCGGTCGGGTGGGCTTTGCGGCTCTACAAGGCCAGCAGCACGCCCGAGACCTCGAGGCAGGGGGAGGAGAGGAGCAAGCGGCCGGGGGAGGCGGCGACGATGTCCAAGTCGTGGCAGCACCAGCAGCAAAGCAGGCTAGGGTTAGGAAGAGCACGAAGTGGCCTCCTACTTACGACTTGGCGCTGGCAAGGGCGGGTGAGTCTTTCTCCGCGCAAGGGTATGCTCTGTTTTTCTAGAGAGAGGCGTTTGTTGGCTTGGATGTGTTCCCTCCCCAAACCCCACCCCAATACGCTCCGAACGCGACACAGCACTGCAGGAACAGCCGGCCACAGCAGTGGTATACGTACTTGCTGTCTCCGTACTGGTGCGATTTCCTGTGCTGGAGTTAGTTGTTTCCTTTGCTGGGGTTGAGGGAGGGACCCATGTGCGCGCGCACACATGCACGCTGTTTTTGAACTGTAAAAGAGACAGCCACTCCGAACCAGATTGTTGATCCTTGGCAACGAGGGTGCAACGAGTGCACAACATATACGAAAGATTCAATCGAATAGCAGCGGAGTAGGGTAGGAACACAAAGCTATATTCGGTGTTCGTAGGGGAGATACAAGTCTTGCTTGGCGAAGAAGGTGAGACTTTCTTGCACTGGTTCCGACGTGGAAAAAATGCACGTCACATGTGGCATCATGTTTAAAATTTAAAAGCAGCGACGAGTTTTTTGGGCGTACGAAGCCGCTGCATCTCCCAGTAGATGCAGTCTACTTGCAAAGAATGTCACATGTCGCCTTTAGATGGAACCAGCAGGACAAAGGTGCGCACAAAATTGTAAGCGCAAGGTGTACTCGACTATGTAGTATTTTTTCGCTACACAACGGCACATAGCCGGACTATTATGGTGGGCGCGGATCCGCTGCTGCGTCCCACAGGAGATGCAGTCTACCCGTGGCACATCATGTTGCATCATGTTAAAAGGGGTTACCCGCAGCGTTACTTATCCTGCATCCCGCTGTAGCCACAGTAGATGCAGTCTACCCGAAAGAATGTCGAAACAACTACTGCGAAGCACCGCGGACCCGGTGCAGTTGACACTCTGCGCAATAACCATTCCGTGCGCTGCCAGACGGCCGGTGTTCACGGACTCGTCTAGTGGCAAGACCTATGCTCCCTCCTCTACTCAAAACGCACATGTATCTGGTGTAAAANGTAAAAAGGGTTACCCGCAGCGTTACTTATCCTGCATCCCGCTGTAGCCACAGTAGATGCAGTCTACCCGAAAGAATGTCGAAACAACTACTGCGAAGCACCGCGGACCCGGTGCAGTTGACAACAAGCGCAATAGCCATTCCGTGCGCTGCAAGACGGCCGGTGTTCACGGACTCGTTTACTGGCGAGACCTATGCTCCCTCCTCTACTCAAAACGCACATGTATCTGGTGTAAAAAATGGAGCCGAAACAAGTCCCCACTACGACATTCAAAGGCGCTCCCACCCTTGTCCTCTACAGGTCTGCAGAACGAAGTGTGGAAAGTGAATGGGAGCGGGCGTTCGGTCGGCGAAAGGTGGGACACCTGCTGGAAGACTCTCAACCACGAGCCCTTGGTCAGGATGTTCAAGGATAAGACGTCCAAAAATTTCAAGTCGTGCTACGACAAGATCGTTGACGACCAGAGCAAGAGCGATGGTAAAGCCCTGCGGGACTCCGGAGCCGGCACTGCTGAGAGTGGCTCGGAGGACGACGTAGAGAAGAATACCAAGGTCCAGCTGGTGAGGGGTCNCTGCTGGAAGACTCTCAACCAGGAGCCCTTGGTCAGGATGTTCAAGGATAAGACGTCCAAAAATTGCAAGTCGCGCTACGACAAGATCGTTGACGACCAGAGCAAGAGCGATGGTAAAGCCCTGCGGGACTCCGGAGCCGGCACTGCTAAGAGTGGCTCGGAGGACGAAGTAGAGAAGAATACCAATGTCCAGCTGGTGAGGGGTCTAGAGCTAGTAAGCTATCTCTACCTTTTGTGATGGGTGCAAGCCTGAGTGTACACGATCATGGCACAGTCTAAACAAGACGGGCACGAATATCTGCACATGGAGAATCCACAATCCATAGAGTATCGTGAAACACCGGCGCTGTCCCGACCGAAGGAAATGCCTGCCGTCGTCGCCAACGTTACACTTGCAGATAAGAGGGGTACGCACAGGGTTAGCCGTAAGTCCAACTTAAAATGAGCAGCATGACAAAAGAAAGACAGAAGTAGATAGACAGCACGAAAGCCCGAGTGCTACACGCCAGGCGACGCAAAACGTGCAGAGAGTTAGCTTGCTGAGACGGTCCTTCACCCACAAAATCAAAACAGC